CCACGATATTCTGGCTATGATATTTTGCCTCTCTGGGCCTATGTTTACTTCTGCAAAATAGGCGTTACAGAGACTTCGACCTGCAGGAACCTTGAACAAGGTCATGTGTAGTTCCTAGCACTGTGCCTGACATGTGGGGTTAAGAGATTATTACTGTGCAATCAACTTTTTGTGAGTAGACAAGTTCAGACCTGAAGTAAAAATCACCCCATTACAGAACTTTAACCTTCCTAATCAAAATCACAGTCAGCCAACAAATATTTCTGGACGCCCCCATTTCCAACTCTGTGCTGGGCACTGTTCTAGGAGCTGGGAAGACAGTGGTGCCCAAGGAAAGGTCTTTGCTCTCCTGGGAAAATTTACATTCTGGTTTGGGGGAAGACAATTATAAAATTTAAAAAAAAAATTTTTTTTAGTGTTATGTGCTAGGTAGGAAATTCAAAAGTCTAAAGAGATAGTGACAGCCTGGCTCTTTTGTTGGGTTTGGGGCGGCCAGGGAAATAAGTGAGATTTGAACGAAGTTTTGCAAAACAAGAAGGAGCCAGTAATGCAAAAATCAGAATCAGAGTGAACAGTCCAGGCAAAAGGAACAGCAAGTGCATAGGCCCTGAGGTGAGAATAAGCTTGTCTTTGTGGAGGGGCAGAGGAGAGGTTAGTGTGCCTAGAACATTGTGGTCAAGGACAGGGGTAGCTCGAGGTGAAGTTAGAAAGTTAGGCCCTGGCCGGTTTGGCTCAGCGGTTGGAGCGTCGGCCTGCGGTATAGAGAGACCTGGGTTCGGTTCCCGCTAAGGGCACGTACCTCGGTTGCAGTTTGTCCCCGGCCCTGGTTGGTCGTGCGGGTGGCAGCCACTCGATGTGTCCCTTCACATCGATGTTTCTCTCTCTCTCTCTTCCTCTCTCTCCCTCCTGTTCTATATGAACAAAAAATGGAAAAAAAAAAATGTCCTCGGGTGAGGATAAAAAAAAAAAAGAAAGTTAGGCAGGGGCAGCTCACCTAGGGCTCACCATGGTGAGGCCTTTAGCTCTTATTCCACACTGGATGGGAAGCCATCTATGTGTTTGTGCAGATCCATAAAGTGTTCAATCTTAATGAGGGTAGAAAAAGTCTCATTCCAAGGTCTGCTCCAAAGTGCATTACCATAGCACAGCCACTGAAATGGTTAAGAAAATCTCCTATGTGTTAAAAAATTGAATGTACATGGTGTCTTCTATTACATTTTTGAAGGAGAACCATATTTCATAAAAAGAAAATTGGAACCAAAATTGACAGAATCCCTGAAGCTTATCTGTACTTCTGCCAAACACTTAAAATGACTCTAAAAGGATCTTCCCAGCACAGTAGCATCTAGGGTGGGGCTTAGTAACTTCTGGCTGGGGAGTCAAAGATATTTCAACATTTCTGTATAACATGGGAAACGCTTTTAAATAAAAATTTTTTCTTAACGGTGCCAGACTCCTTTGAGAATTTGATCAGTGCTATGGACTTTCTCCCCTGAAAAGGCTCTGCATAGGATGAAGAAACAGGGAATTCTCATTCCTTCTCCTTTCATCTCCTGAATGCCCAGGGGGCAGGGAGCCCCCCCCCTCCCATGATCACCTCCACCACTGCCAGGGATAGACCCCCAGACCTCCTGGGAAGGGAGTAGAAGCCTCCCCACTTGGGGATTCTAAGAGGTGGTCCATGCAGTTCATCCAGTCACCAGTGGGAACCCAATCTCTTGTGAGAAGGGTTGAAATGGACTCCAGGAGCCTGATGTCTGCTCCCTGGGGACACAAGGGGGCTTTGAGAAGATGCCCTCCCCATCCCTCAGGGCAGGATCCTTAAATACTTTTTTTTCCCTGAATCAAAAGGCCTTTGAGTAGACTTCAGATGAGAAGTTACTGGCCCTTCTCCCCAGAAAAATGCACGGGCAGCCCATATTTATAGTTATGGGAGGGGAGTTCACAGAATAGATTAGAGGGTAGAGAACAATTTGGGGTTTTAGGGAATGTTCTCCTCAATCACCCTTGATGTGGAAATTGAGAGAGTGAGGCCCAGAATGATAATTAAGTGGTTTCCCAAAGCAACACAGGGGACAAAAGTAGGGCCAATACTTCCTTGTCCATATAAGTGCAAAACACAGGTTCTTGTATCAGACTGCCAGGGTTCAAATCCCATCTCCAACCCTAACTTGTCCTGAAACCAGTCCCACTGTACTAACCTCCAAGATGATGTTGATAGCAACAGGAGAGTACTGGTAGGACCGTGAAGAACAGAACCTGGTCCATAACAATCGCTAAGTAAATTCTATTGATATTTTGCAATGAGGAAAGGCAGGCTTACAGAAGTGAAGTTATTTTGACAAGGACATAGGAGAGGCATGCTTAGAACTAGGACCTGTCCATCTCCAAAGCCAGTGAATGCTGTTCACCCCCAGACTAGTGGTTTTCAAACTGCAAGGCATGGCCCATCAGTGGGTCAGAAAATCAGTGCAGCAGGGTCTCAAACAGCACTGGAAAAAAAAAAAAATTAACTATCAGAGTACATCACACATAAGGATAAATAGTATTTGGTGACTTTTGTTTCATTACACTGTAAGTACACAAGTCTGTACTAGGACTTAAAATAATTTGAAAGCCATTACCTCTGACCACTAGGACCCCAAGATGTTTATACACAAGCACCCTAGAAGTGCCAGTAAGATAATCCATCCTGTGCTCTAGGAGGGGCAGGGATTTGAGTTGCCCAAGGAGACTTAGAGGTAGGGGAATGGGCTGTGAGCTGTTCAGCAGCAGAGGAGCAAAGAGGGTAGGCCACTGTAACCCTGAGTCTAGATTGGAGCAGAAGGGCTGATTCTTGAAACAAATATTCCCCACTGGCTCACTCAGTGCCAGGCCCTTGGCTTAGTACACAGTGGTAACTGAGACTATCCTGGTCTTTTCCAACTTGGGGTTCTCTGTGCAGTGAAGGAGAGAGACCTGTTAGCAGACAGCAAGCTTCTAAAATGGTCAGGGCTGTGGCAGCGGAGGCATTGGTCAGATTTATCAACACTGTGATGGGGCAAGACCATGAATTAGGAATACAGAACAGCAAGTTCTGAGCCAGAAACCATAGCTAAGGGCTAGTTCTAGCACTAGCTTTATCTAAGGCCCATCTCTGAGCAGGACTTACCAGAGACACTCTCACAAACTTAGGTGAACCCAGGATTCTTCAACTCCCAGCCAGGCCTTTTAGAAGAAGTACGTGCTAACCAATGCATACTTGCCAAGCTGTGTGGCATACTGGAACCCAGATTCATAGTCTAACAGGCTCCACCCAACCTATGCAAGAGAAGGGACTGAGAGCCAGATGTCTCACAGCTGTCTGGTACACTAGCTAATGAACGGACCAGAATGTGTGCAAAACACTTTTTTTGCAGGGTGATTTTTTACTGAAAAGGGGACCTGGCCCTTTGAGGGTCTGCCTCAGCCCAGAGTGCACGGGCATTTTCCTGGGAAGGAGAGCGCCAGCTGGGACCTTTGTTTTGAGGGGTTTTATTTATTTTTATTTTTGTTGATCTTCACCCAAGGATGTTTTTTCCATTGATTTTTTGAGCAAGTGGAAGGAGGGAGGGAGGGAGAAAGAGAGAGAGAGAGAGAGAGAGAGAGAGACAGACAGACAGACAGACACTGATCAGTTGCCTCCCACCTGGGGCTGGGGATCAAACCTGCAACGCAGGTACAGGCCCTTGTCTGGGAATTGAACCTGTGACCCTTGGGTGCGTGGGCCAACTGCTCTATCTACCGAGCTACACCAGTCAGGGCTGTTTTGGGAGGATTTAAAAGTTGGGTGTTTGGGGGAGATTTAAGGGAGGCTCTCAATAGAGTAATCATCAACTTTATACTCATGTACCAAAATGAGACTTATTCTTTTAACTTCATCTGTCCTTGGGTGTGGTTGGCACCAATTGGATTTCTGCTGTCTCCCAGAGTAGGGTGATTTAAGCTATTTACCTTCTGGTTGGGTAGAAGTGCAAACCATTTACTCATTTTTTTTTTTTTTTTTAATGTGCTTAATTACTTGCATGGCATTATATTTCTGTTGGACAGCGCTCATCTAGAGTTAAATCCCCAAGTACCCAGGAGTCTGGATATCCTATTTCTTCCAATTCTTCTCTTGCATGTTAACGTCAAACCACTTACTCTTAAGTGTCCTTGGTTTAGGGAAGGTAGGATTTACTAGATGATGGCAAACTGCTGTTGAACAATCTGTCTTAGTTTCCCTATTCTGTTTATCCTGATTTACTAGTCCGTCTCAATTTTAAGGACTTTAAAGGCCCAAATTACCCCATAAAAAAGTTATATCCTATATTTAATTGCATACATGATGAGCAGATAAGAATAATATTTTGGAGTCATAGAATGGCTAATTGATAGAAACTATTCTGTTTCCATAAAACAGTCCAATAGCCCAGTTATGCAAATATGATTGTTTCCATTTTGCAGATGTGGATACTGAGGCACAGAAAAAAAGTTGTCTTCTGCCAGCAAAAAAATGCAAAGCTGGGTTTGTGCTGTTTCAGAGCCTGAGCTAATCGTGAGAAACATACTGAAAAGCAACCCCTCCTGACCCCAGGTCCAGGGCCCTTTAAGAGCCTAGCACCCGGGAGAAAAAGCGAGAGCTAAGTAAAATGAGATCAAAGCGTATGCAAATAAGGAACAGGGGCTGCCGGGAAACTTCGCTGCGGCTAGCCTCTAGGGAAAGCCGGCGTCAGTCAGAGACCTACAGCGCCTGCTCACTCCGATCTCTTCTTTCTGTCCGGAGTCTGCGCGAGGCACATCCGTAAAGCTCACCGGCCCAAACTCGCTTATTATACGAAGGCGCTTTGCTCTGAGTCCGCCTTCTCGCTTTGCTTGCGCTTGCGCTCTAGCGCTCTCCGAGTCTACCTCTCGCTTTTACGTCAGTTCCTGTTGTGGCGGGAGAAGGCGGTATTTCCGGCCAGAGGGTGGGACGGGGCGGTAAGCGGGGGCTGGGGGGAGGGGGCGGGGGGGCCCGCGCCGCGCGAGCCGTTGGGCCTGGCTCGGAGAAGGCGTTGCCGCTGCCGTAGCCGCCACCGCTGGCAGGAAACACAGGAGTGGGACCAAGAGCAGCGTGGCGATGGGCGGGAGTAGAGCCCCGCCGGAGAGGCTGGGCGGCTGCCGGTGACAGGTGAGTGCGCCAGTGCGTGTCCCCGAACGCCCCCCACCCCGCGGTGGTCGCGTCCGGAATCCCCCCCGCAGTGCCGCGCTGGGCCGTACCACCAGTGCCTGCTGGGTGGGGACCGCGGTCCTCGAGCCCCCCCTTCCGGGACTGAGTGGGGGTGGCTGCGCGGGGGCGGTAGTTCTAGCCCTGAGGGCCCGGAGGCGGGGGCGGCGGGTCGTACCACTGAGGCGGCCGGGGGGAGCGCTTACCCAAGTGCGAGGACCGAACCACTGAAGGGCTAGGGGCGCGGACACTAGCGTGTGCGGGCTTGGGGCTGAACTCGTGGGGTGTGAAGTGAGAGCGTGCCTGGTGGGCGAGTGCTAAGCCATTGAGGGGGTGCGCCTTACCAAGTGTAGGAGGCTGTACTCATTCGGGGTCGTGGGAGCAGTTCCTATAACGCGTTGAGAGAGGTGGGGGCTTTTGGGGAGGGAGCTGTACCAAGTGTGGTCCGGGTAGCACCGTCTGGGTTATACCACTGGGTGCTGAGGGGGAGCCATCCTTACAATGTAGCCGGCGCTACATCAAAGGGGAGCTGTGATGTTTGTAATCTCTGAGGCACGGGACAGGCCCGAGTGGGTGTTGAGGGGAGTGTTTTGGGAGAGCTGTAATGCTAGTTATCAGGAGGGGCTATTGCCTCCTGTGTTCAGTGGGTGGGCCTTGAGGTTTACACTGAGCTGGAGGAGGATCATCCTTATTGAACTTAATGACTTTTGTGGGGAACTGGATGGACACTGGACTGCTGTCTACCCCAGAACCCTTTCATATGATTACACTCTATTTTAAGGTGGGTGGGACAGACACCTCAGTGGCAGGTTTGTTCTTTCCTTGGGGTTTGGGGAGATGTCTTAGAAGTCGCTGTTTGAAGTCTTCCAAGCTTTTGGCTCCATTTAGGGCGCAGAAAGGGTATTGAGCTTGGATTTACGGAGTTGTGCTCCTGGACCTACTTAAGACTTTGGAGGAAGGAGTGTTTGGTGGGACATCTCTCTCCCAGGGCAAGGTGGCTGGGGACATCTTAATCCTTGGGATTCTGAGGACCCCCTTCCTCTGATTTGGAGGCTGCTTGGGCTCAGCAAGAGGCCAGGACTGGAGTAACTTAGGTCCTTCATGGGCTGCCATTCAACCTTGTCCCTTTTTCCTGCCTCAGACAAGCATGGGGAGTTTAGCCTGACCTTGGTTGAGGTGGGTGTGAAGGGGTTAGGCACCACTCACCACAGGCCCCTCTGCCCTCAGTGCTGCTGTTTGTGTCTCCCTGGTTAGCAGTCCAGGCGCCCATCATGTTTACACTCCCCACCAGGCGGTAACAGTTGGCCTCACCATTAGGTGGTGATGAGGCTGAGCACTGTTTTCCCAGCTGTTCCTCTTTGCATAGGCCAAGGGGACTTGGGTGGGGGGCCCCTGGTCCAGCCTGACCCAGGGAGGAAGACTGCTCTTCTGAAGGACTTAGGACAGCCAAATTCCCCATGGATCTGGTTTCTCACTGTGGCTGCTGGGTGGGTGCTTAGAGCAGACAACTCCAGATGGGAGGCCACCGCTCCTGCTCTCCAGGGCAGCTTGTGACCTTGGCTTGCCTGGTAACCTTTGCCCTGGGTCTGGTGTTCCGGGAGGACAGGCCACAGTCCCTGATTGACCCAGCTAATAATGGGCTGGTGATGTGGTCAAAAGGGACAGATGGTCCCTTCTGGTCCACAGCATCAGCTTCCAAGCTCCCTGGCTTCCATGGGTTGTGGTTTCTGGAGAGAATAGTCCCCGAGTCTCTTCGAGGCCATGGTGGCTCTGTCGAACTTTCCTCTACTGGGGGTTTGTTCCTCTGGTTTCCTTCTGCTGATTTTAGAAGGTTTGCCTGATGGGGATAACAGCAGCAATAAAAACAATAGCCATGAAATTGATGTCTGACATTTATTGAGTGCATTCTGTGTGCCACATGCTGTTCAAAATACTTCACGTGGATTAACTTGCTGAATACTCACATCCTAGAACTGTAGGTACTTTTATGATCCATTTTAGAAGGGGAAACTGAGGCATTGAGAGGCAAATCTGAAGAGCTAATGAATAGCCAGTGTTTATTGAACAGTCACCATATGTCAGGGATGTAACAGGCCTTTTGCACACATGATCTCCTTTAAATCTTAGAATACCTCTATGGGGTGGGTATTGGTTGTGCCCCTTTCATACACCCCTGTGAGGTAAGGAGAAGTGTGATAGCCGTTTTATAGATGAGGAAACAGACACTTGCTGTGAAGTGAAATGATTTGCCTTAGGTCTCATAGCCAGAAGTGGTAGAGCTAGGATGTGAATTGTTGGCCCCATTTGGCCTCAGAGTGAACCTCTTGTAAACAAGTAACTGGAACACTGGTTTATTTGCATCCAGGGGCAGATATGGTGTTTCTGTCCATTTTGCAGAGGTAGAAATATTAGGGCTCAGAGGAGGAGTTGCCTTGCCCTAGGTGTATCAGACCCAGAGGGGCAAGCTGGGGTTTGAATGTCTGTCAGCTTGTCCCTGGTGTCATGTACTCCTAGCTCACTGGGTCCCAAGCTGGGGTCTGTGTCACCTCAAAGCTTCTGCTCTGGACCCTGCCAGCTGCACCTGTGGGTATTTCCTTTTCCTCATCTACAGAGCCTAGGGCTGCTGTGAGCATCTCTGTTGGCAGCCAGTCCAGCAGTCCTGGCTTCCTGGTGAAACTTGGTCCATCCTCAGTGTTGAGACAGGGCAGTGTGTGTGCTGGGAGCTGGGAGAAGACACTAAGAACCATATGCAGGGGGTGACACAGCCGCAAGAGTACCCGTGTTAGAGGTCTCTACACAAGGATGGTGTAGTGGGTATGCATGCAAGTTCTGGGGGTGTAACGTTCTGGCTGTGTGACCTTGGGCCACAGTGTTCATCTCTGTGCAATGGGCTCAGAATAGCACCCACCTCAGGCTGTTGTGAGGATTAAATAAATTAATTCATGAGAAGCTCCTCAAAGAGTGCCTGGCACTGTGTAAATGCTTAGTTAGCAGTGCTGAGGGCCTCCCCCCACCCCCAGTTCTCTCTGGCCCCTTTCAGGTTACAGAGACTTGTATCTGGTATCCTGCTATCCAGCCTTCTAGCTTGGCCCAGCCAGGATCCAGGAATCTGGTGTCCTGGTCTCTTAACCTCTGTAAAGAGCTGCATTGAAGTGATTCAGAGTACAGGGTTCAAATCCAGCCCTTGAAAAAAAAATTTTTTTCTGTATTGATTTTTAGAGAGGGGAGGAGAGATAGAAACATCGATGAGAGAAAATATCGACTGGCTGCCTCCTGCATGCCCCCTGCTGGGAATTTGGCCCACAACCGGGAATTGAACCAGCAACCTCTTGGTGCATGCTCAACCACTGAGCCACACTGGGCCGGGCTGAAATCCAGCCCTTTCACTAGCTGGTTGTATGACCTTGAGCAGGTTCCTCCACCCATCTGAGCCCTTTTCATCATCTGTGTCATGAGATGATAATTGATAATTCTCCCCTGATGGGTTGTTGTGAAGGTTTAATGGGTTAATTTGTGGAAAGCATTTATAACTAGGAAGGCATAACAGTAAGCCTATAGTAAACGTTTCCTGCTCTCACTATACTTAAGAGTGCATGACACATGGTGAGCCCTAGGATATCTTAGCAATTGTCATTCTTATTCTTTCTGCTAGGATTTTGAAGGCCCCTTTCAGGTTACAGAGCCTTGTCAGATAACACCAGGAAGAGGACATAGCCAAAATTAGCATCTCCAGTTTCCAGATGAAGGTTGGGAGTGGAAGGGACATATAATGAAATAAAAAACTGGCAAATGCAGTGCCCAGGGCCCATCTGTCTTCCACACAGTTGCTGCCCAGAGCCCCTTCAAAGTCAAAATCCAGCTCCTTTCCAGATGTCAGCCTCTGCTAAATCATCATTTTTCTTGTATGTTTTATTGAATCTTCACCACAACCCCCAGGAGTGGTGGGAATGGCCTTGATAGAGATGAGGAATAGCCCTTTTGAAGGCTGCAAGGTGGAAGGGCGGGAAAGGAGAGTTGGAGAAATGCTCATGGATTTGGGCCAGGCTTCGTAGAGCCTGGTGGGCCTGGTTGAGGAATGTGGATTTGATCCTGAAAGCATTGCAGAGCTGAGGAAAGGTTTTTGTGCATCCACCACTATTTATTGATCACCTATTGCATGCCTGGAATTGCTTCATGTGTTGGGGATACAGGGTTATACTTGACAGAAGTCCTACCCACATGAAGCCAGGGGAGACAAACCCTAAACTTGGTGAGTAAACAAGGGGCAGCTTACAAGGCGGGGGGGGTGGGGGGGTGGGGGTGGGGGGGGGGGCTAGGCAGTGAATTAAAATCAGGTGTGACTAATGCTTCTCTAGATGGGCTGTCAGGAAGGCCTCTGAGATTGACAGAGAGACATGAGGAGAAGGAACAGTCTTGGGGTGTGGGGGGACCACAGTGCAAAAGTCCCAGGGAGGCCGAGCTTGGTGAGGTGCAGGGGCAGGGTGAGTGAGGGAGGATGTGGGAGGGGAGGCGAGGGGCTGGGTCACTTAGAGCACTGAAGCCTGCCCTGAGGAGCAGCTTGGTCAGATTTAGGGTTTTAGCAGGTGCCTTTTGCCATGAGAGGTTCTCAGGCTTCTGCCTGGGGCAGGGGTAGATTTTAGAGCCGGTCAGGGAGTTTCACATGCCCCCTACTTCCCCCTTGAGTAGAATCACTGCCTTAGAAATGCTGAAGTCCCGATGGTTGCCTCCCTCCTCTGTGGTTTTCACAGTGTTCCCCAGGGCCTGTGGCTGTTCCCTTTAGGGACAGATGGGGGGAGGCTCAATGGGCTGCTTTGCTGCTCACCCCTTCCCAACCCAGATAGTTGGGCTAATATCTAGTAAGAGTGAAGGACAGTCGTCATGCCCGAGGGCCTGCACTATTCCTGGCATTGCTCTAAAACTTGGAAGACCAGGCCTTGTGGGCCTACTTCTAGTGGAGACAGGTG